CCCGGCCGCCGCGCGCGCTACTTCCGCAGCCACACGGACGCGCTGGTGGGCACCGGCGCCGTCGCCCTGCAGGTGCGAGGCCGGCGCTGCGCGGATGCGACCGTGGTGCAACCAGATGGGTGGGCTCCGTCCTGCGTCCGGATTCCGTCTCCGTCACTGCGTGCACCGATTTCAGCGCCAGTTTGCAACGCGAACCACGTGACCACAACACGGGCACTTCGGTTGAAAACTCAAACCATACGCTTCCCACCATGTTGCATGGAGAGCGAGAAGTGTTGAGAAACATTTTGATTGTGGCGTAAAATGACAATTTTCAACTGTGGACAACCGCACATAACACGCTGAAGTTGTTATTAAAATAAAAGATGCAATATTCAAACATAAAATGCTTCATAAATCTGGTTCATTCTCTTGTACGGTTATGTTTGGCATTTAAAATTCCCGCTAGTATTGTGACGCAAACTGGTGTCTGAAGCTGATTCGCTGAAGTCCAATACGGTGCACAAGAGATCACCCATCTCTTTCCACCATGGTTACGATATGCATGTGAATGATTTCAAAAAACATTGATATTTTTAATGATGTATTTAAAATATTTTATTGAATCCCGAGTTTGTTGACATCGATGTTTCGAATTAGACATTTTTTCTTGGCTGATATTTTTTTAAATAAAAAATGTAATTATAAAAAACTTCAAAAATATTCACTCATCCATAATTTGAATTTCATTAGACCGAAGTCACCAAGAGTGAAAAATAAATTAGTTACTGAAAAATAGTTCAATATATTTATTAATAAATATAGTATATTACTTTGATATTATCCAAACAAATAAAAAACGTATGTAAATTGTTCTACATTTTTTTACCGTGTTGTCAGCCAAACGTCGACTATAAAATAATAAACATGTCTACTGTGACATGTAATGGCCCTCCCCCATGTTAACACTAATATCAAAGGTTACTAAAGGTAGTTTTAAAAACATTCATGGTTTTCAGACGTATTTTGAAAATCGATTTTTAAAATTAGTACATCGGTGTTTCGAAACATCTATGATTTGTTGTCAATGTCGCATCTCTGGCAGCGACGTCTCCTACCCATCCCTTCCCTTCCCTTCCCTTCCACGACCCCGAGCATACCGACCACGATGGCTCATTGGAAGCATTTCAGTTGCCGTCGCAGCGTCCCTGACTAGGAGGTTCTAGGGTTCGAGTATCTACTGTGGCGAATTTTCGACACTAGCTCCAAATCGAATTCGGGCGATGTCTGAAGAAGAGATCTAGCGGACGGTAATACTGATCAGTAGATTTCCGAGGTCTCACAGTTCTATACTAGGCGAATGATGGAACAGTACCTGAAGAATCGGTTCACGGACCTCGCGCGATCATTCTTTCCTCATCACTGATCTCTCCCCCTTACATACACAGACTTACATGTATTCCCACTGCTATTCCATACATGCCAGAGAGTAATCGCCTCGGGCAGCGGAGAGATAACTGAAGGGCAAACTCCCGCAAACCAAAGTGTAGGTGGACGCCGGACCTCAAGTGCCAGCTGCAGAGGAACACCGCCACGTTCCGTAATGTAGTGTAGTATTACTACACTTACAGGACTAATGTGTACAGTACTTGATGAGCGAAAAATATTAAATACTCATATGCAATTTGAAAAATTGTTAAAAATGAATATTTAAGATTTATTTCTTTATTTACGTCGAAAACAATTAAAAATTGATGGGGACTTGCTATGGGGGGAAGAAGTTAATTTGAAGTTACACTTATGTCCAGAAGCAAAACATGGGACCATCTCAGCATTTGCTAAAGGATCAGGAAAACTGGACGAAAGGGGGGTCATTGACCCAGAAGCTGAAGTACAATACTTGTTGCAGGTTCGTTAGAATTATACTATCCAAATGGTAAATATCGCATTAAATTTTAGTGTTAAAATTAATATTACTTTCCTTTTGGATACTTGGTATAGTCTCTAATTGTATAGAAATAGTTGTTCAGCAGAACAGATTTTACTTGGGATTTCCGGACGCATCAACTTATAAGGTAATTCGTCCTGTAAGTGTAGTACATGTTATATCGTGGGAGTCTTTCTCCACTGGATGGAGAGGTCCGGCGCCGACTTACAAGTCGACTCTCAGGATTTTCCCCAGCCAGTTATCTCCCACCAACGAGGAACCGCCTCAGCCGGGACAAGCTCTAAGCTCCCGACCGGTCTACCGGCATGTGTGGTGGTGTAATGCATGTAAGTGTGTGTGTGTGTGTGTGTGTGTAAGTAAGGGGTGAGGGTAGGTCAAGGAAGAGGAAGGAAAGACTGCGCGCAGTCCGTGCCCCGTTTGTTAGGGTACTGCTCTGGAAGTATGCCTGATGTTGGTCGGAAAAACCACGAAAAACTACCGATCAGCCGCTAGTATTATCCTCCTAGGCCGGGAGCCAGCAAGAAAAACTACGGCCCACGGAGCACGAAACCACGAATAAGCTCAAAGCTAAACATTTTTGAGAAGTTAGCCACTGTTATGAGAAAGGGAAACGCAAGTATGGCAGTCTGTAGATGTCGGCGTTACGCTGCACAATTTTTCGAATGTGTTGAAAAAAATTATGCCATTATGAGTACACAGCTAATGCTTTTTGTATATTGTTCATTAAAGAGCCAAAGGATGGAGTTGTAAGCCGTATCAATGTCGCGTCTCAAACTGTACGCCGTATTGAATTCAAAGTCATTTTTAATTCCCTCTTGTATTACGAGCTCAAGGCTAATTTTTGGACTATTGGTAGACAATTCTCTCTTGCGGGGAGGGGGGGGGCGTTAGTTAGCGTGGTCGCTTTCCACGGCGCAACCTCGGGTTCCGTTCCCACCGAAGAAAATGATAACTATTCACTTTCCTTATCAAGATCTTAGTGTCTATTGCTATGTGACAATGAGAAATACCACCCTAAGGTACTAGTGTACACGGTCAAGGGATGTCGGCGTGCTAACCACACGAACCACTTAATCCATGGCCGAGAGGCCGGCTCAGCGCTGATCGGCCAAGGCCCATAACGGGCTGTCGAGCCAAAAACTGGTTGAGAATTCTTTTTCTTTGCCGATTATGACCACGTCATACCATTGCTGCGTCTCTAAGTAGCCACAGTACTGATTCAAAGATGACCAATTTGTCACTAGGCCATGTACGTACGTATCATACATACAAGTACGGCCGTACATTTTTAGGTTCCCCCGAGAT